AATCGAGTTGGATTGTGGTCTATAGAGCAGCCTGAAGTGTACATATGAAGTAGACTCGCTCCCTTTGTAAAAATCGAGGGGTCGAAGGTCTGTCCATATAAACTTCCCTCATCCACTTCATGAAGTAGAACATACTTCAAAATGGCAGCGGGGATTCCCCAGAGGGGAACTGCTTACCCAGATAGCACACATACATCAGCAAGATGTCTGTTAAAGCTCGCTTCATCTGGAAAGCATCTGCTGTGTACAAACATCTGATAGACGTCTTTAAGATGTCAGTTTTACATGAATTTTAAATCATGAACATCTTAAAAACATTTTCTAAATGCCTATTTGCACATTTGATAAGAAACGTCCAATAGACATATTGCAGATGAGCAAACACTCTAAAAAATATGCCTTAGATATAAATGCAATCGTCAAATAGACATCTCCGTGATGTGCTACCAGGGTAGGGAAGGTCGCGAATGTATGTCTAAAAGCGAAGTGGAACGCAGCCAGGCAACACAAAATTAATAGACATAATATACCTAATCCATAGCCTCATGGAAACAGTCCTGATCATGTTCACAAGAGTCTGGAGTGGCAAATTTTCAGCAAATTTTTTTATCCACAATTTTTCATTTTTGGGTAAACTATCCTTTTATGGCAGTGACTTAATGTAAATGTCCTAGATGAGTTGATACTACAAACCAAATGTTGTGATATTACACCAAAGCATTTGCATCCTTTCTCTTATCATAAGCAGTTTGCATTGGGCAGATAGTCTTTAAAAAAACACACAGACAGAGATAGTCAGAAAAACACAGACAGCAGATTCATAATAGTTTATATCTCTATTTATTTTCCCTTAGAACAGAACTTTAATAAATGTAGCTGTATTTTCATCTTACCTTCAAAAAAAGGTCATGACCAGTCTTTGTGTAAAAAAAAATCAGAGAGAATCGTTGAACTAAAGCATCTATTGTATGACAATATGACACTGTAATAATAACTGTTATTTCTATATACCGTGTGTCCATTTATTTGCTTGTAAACCGCAGGTTCCAGTTGCAACCTTTGCAGAGGAGGAGAGCATTCATCTTTGTAAATCACACTTTTTTGACAAGTGTTGAACAGTGATTAAAATCTTTTAAACATGATAAACAAAAGTGTCTGAACAACAAAAAACCTCAAAGAGGACAGGTTTCATAAAAAAAAATATTACAATTTATATCAGAAGAACTATTTTGACATAGATGGGATGAGGATCGGTTATGTGACTTATGACACAATAGAATTAAATTGATTGAAAGATCCTGGGGAACGAGAGGGATATCTGGGAAATACTGACTGATACTAGACGGTAAACTAGATCTTATACAGCAAGGCCAGATTCAGGATTAGATTATATATGAGCAGACTTTGACTTACAATGAAAACACAATATAGTGACATAGAATACATTTGGGATAATTAAAAAAAGGTAAATCTCTGATCCTGCAGTCAGCATGAAACAGGTTGTTAATTAACAGATGCCCTACAGCATCAGATGGAATACAATGTTCTTTGCAGCTCTTCCAAGCTAGATGTTCGTACATTTTTATAGTGTCTTGATCTGTGATAATCTGTGATAATTCTTGGTCTGACATCTTCAATTAAATGTATGATCTCATTGTATAACCTGATGCAAAGGCAAAATACAGTAACTACAGCAACACTGATACTGAGAATATGGTTAATTTTTTATTATTTAATTGTAATTGATTTGATATCAATTCAAACTCTGTTTTCTATGAATCTTAGCACAGCCAAACCCATTTCTTCTGTCATAGTCTGAGGCCCAGTTGCAGTCATAGCTCTATTGCTGTGTGTTGCCTTTGCATAGCAGTGTAAAAATAATGATCATTTAAGAGATGGTGTTGCCTTCACTTAGTGTGACAGATATTATGTCATTATGTTATATATTACACTGGGTGAAGGCATAATGTTTCCACTGAATGATCATTACAATTGAACAAAGTCATCTGGGAAAATTGACATCCTTTAAGCTAGCATTATACATTATTTTATGGTGAAAACAGTGAAATTAAGTGAAAACACTACTGAACAAAATTATATGGAATAAACAGGCACAGGTTCTCAGAAACAACTTGGTAACACTGACAGAGTAGTGTTAACAAAGTTTTAGAGTAAAACCAAGAACATTTAATTACTTGCACAGTTAAATTCACTCTAAAGCAGAGACGTACAGAAACAAAAAAACAGGGCCCCTGTACACAAAACAGTGCTTGTGTTGATTTACATGTTTTAATTAACAAGTCATCTCTGTGTGATTCAGAGATTCTGCAATTTTTATTTTCCTGTTATGTGAAGTGTTGTCTATTATGTATCAATATTTCTTAAATTAGCCTAAAAAAATAATAAATTAACTAGTATAATTGTTTTATTGCAGTTTATGGAAAAAATATAGATAATAATCTATAAATAGTATTCCAAAAGGGGCATTTACTGGTAGTTTCCCCTAACAAATGTCCAAATTTGAGCACCTGGGCCAAAGTCACCAGTCACTCTGTTAATCTCTGCTCTTCAAGGAACACTCCACTATTTTTGAAAATAGGCTCATTTTCCAACTCCCCTAGAGTTAAACAGTTGAGTTTTACCGTTTTCGAATCCATTCAGCCGATCCCCAGGTCTGGCGGTAGCACTTTTAGCTGTAGCTTAGCATAGATCATTGAATCTGATTAGACCGTTAGCATCTCGCTCAAAAATGACCAAAGAGGTTCTATATTTTTCCTATTTAAAACTTGACTCTTCTGTAGTTACATCGTGTACTAAGACCTATGGATAATGAAAAGTTGCGATTTTCTAGGCCGATATGGCTAGGAACTATACTGAAAATAGGCTTATTGGAAGTTACCTAGCTGGGGACTATTTTCAGGCGCTGCATAATATCATTGCGCCTGCTGCACCCATAGTACGGCAGCAAAGTTCCTTGATTATTACGCCGGAATGAGAGTATAGTTCCTAGCTATATCGGCATAGAAAATCGCAACTTTTCATTATCCGTCGGTCTTAGTACACGATGTAACTACAGAAGAGTCAAGTTTTAAATAGGAAAAATATAGAAACTCTTTGGTCATTTTTGAGCGAGATGCTAACGGTCTAATCAGATTCAATGATCTATGCTAAGCTACAGCTAAAAGTGCTACCGCCAGACCTGGAGATCGGCTGAATGGATTCGAAAACGGTAAAACTCAACTGTTTAACTCTAGGGAACTTGGAAAATGAGCCTATTTTCAAAAACAGTGGAGTGTTCCTTTAAGTAATTCTAATTTAACTTTACAATAATTAATTTAACACTAGTGAATTTACTCTATGAATACACAGGAAAATAATGACCAAAGGAATGTGTTGGATGCACAGATGTATATGAGGATAGTCAGAAAATAAGGCCCTGACAAAGGCAAAACAGCACATAATCCCTATTAGCAATTACACTCAAACACCGACGACAACAACCACACAGAAGGAGAAATGTAGAGTAAGCCCTTAACTCCTTCTCCACACACTACTATTTGCTAAGCCCTTTACACAATAGATAGTTATTTTTGATAGGGAAATGATGGGAAAATTACAGTGTAATTGTGTATGATTATGATGTAATGCCACATTCTGTTCAGCTATTTCAATTCCATTCGTATATGAACTATAGTAGTTAACCTTAATTAAACCAGCTTCACATGCAATCATGTTAAATTAATGCATTCAAATAATGTCATGCAATGAATAACAATATAAACATTGTTGCTGCTAAGAATTATGTAAGGACCACATACTGAAAAATTATGCTTTCACAGAATATCTAAGATGCAATTAATGCAGAAGGGCTGAAGGGTTTAGCACACTTTTAAATGAATAAAGTGCATAATAAAATAGTGTCATGTATGAAAATACTTATAGTAACATCCTCCTTTACAGTTGTGTGCCAAATCCCTGTTTCTTGGATTATTCTTACCTGTTGTAGACTATATTTGTATTTAAATGACTACCAAAACAATTGGGTCTTTCTAAACACTCTCAGAAAAAAAAAGAGGGACAAAAGCTGTCACTGGGACGGCACCCTTTCAAAAGGTACACCTTTGTACCTTATTTACCCCTAAAAGTTCCATATTAGTATCTTAAATAATAATAATAACAATTTATTGTCATTGCTGTAGAACAACGAAATTACATTAGACCATCAATCGACAGTGCAATTTCATAAGTGCAAATGCGTAGGAATGACATTGACAACAGTGACAAAATAAGATCCAACATTATCAGCCATAGCACAGTATGTCAACAGGACAATACGGTACATATTAGTCCCTCTTTAAAGGGTACCAACCCAGTGACAACTTATGTCCCTTTTTCTGAGAGTGAACATCAGTAGAGTGAACATCTCCATACCATGTACATGATATGGAGATCATAGAACAAAAAGAACTATCTCATGGTAGTTGAGACAAACTGCAGCAAACTCCACCAAGCACCAAGATTTGTCATACAGTTAGGGGAATAATCATCAGTTTCTAAAATAATGCAAGGTGGTTATATATGTTTCTTAGAAGGTGGAGAAGAAAAACAATATTCGCTAATTAGATGGGATGCCAATTGCTGATTTGATTTTGAGGCTTTCAGTACATCTTAAAAATAGTCCTTTTTATTATTTTATTTTATTTAGGATGAAAATGTACGCATTTGAAAGAGAGACATGTGAATCTTCTACCAGTAGCCTGTCTGAATGGTGCTGATGACTTTGTGATGTGACACTCACTCTCAAATTACACAAAATACTGGCACGCAACATAAAGAGAGAATTTGACAGGACCATGAACACCCAAGTCACTTTCCAGGTTGCTCTGAAACCACTGAACAGAAGTCAAAACCATCTTGAAGTGAAAATAACAGCTGAAACTGAAAGGGAAAAGTTAGATAATCTCCTAGTGCAAAGTGAAATTACATTTTACGTGTGTGTGTGTGTGTCACAATGTGTGTTCCAGAAGAGAGTGAGAAGTCTCTGTAGGGGCATGTTCTGACTCTTCATATTATGCTTATCTTTTGTCTTGTGTCCTGTTCACTGTTTTCCCCAAACCCCACAAGGTGCTGATGACAAGTGTGGTGAAGTGTTCTCTGGTTGAGAATGTTAGCCTCACTTAGAGCCGGTACACTCAACTTTTCTCTGAGCGAGGTGCTTCTTTACTGACAAGCCCGAAGCAAGATGTGTTGAAGCATGTGGATGCACTGGAGTTGTCCAGCCCAACTTCATTCAATCACTCTTCTCTCGGGGCGTTGTCATCCAGTGGAAAGATGCCAGTCAGGCAGGTCGAGTTCTGATTGGCTGTCATGGTAGCCACAGTGTGGAGAAGAACTAGGACCAGCAAGCAAAGTTTCAGCCGGCCCTGCCCGAGCCGTGGACCCCCCGATGAGGTCACGGATGTGTGCTGGCAGGAAGGGTGAGTTCTTTTTAAAGTGCCCCGGGAGCGGTTGTTGGACTTCTGGTCCCACCGCACATCACAGCACTCTGGCTCCTGGTTGATGTCTGGTTTGAACCCTGGGGTGTATGCAAAAACACGCATCCATGTTTTATTTGGAAAACTCTCAAACATTGTATGATACAGCAGTATGCATGTCTGACTGTGTTTATGAAAAGAGTTCCAGAGTTCTTCTGGCAAGATTTTCTCAAAGTTATGAACATTTGTTCAAAGTTATCTGGTCTTTAATAACATTCCCAAAATATTAGAGCAAAGATGTTTTTATATATCATTTAAGGAAGATTTTTTTTTTTTTGGCTCATAATATTTTTTGGCTCCCACAATATTTGCAAAATGATCAAATGTAACATTCCCTTATTGTTTTTGTTTTTATTTGCATAAACATTTAAAAAAAAACTGGACGTTTTAAAGCTTCAGAGAGCATTCAATACTAGCGTTTTCATACAACAATATCAAAACATTCCTATAATATTTTTTGTTAGCTGGTGTTGCACTAAAGTCATTACTTTAAACACTAAGATATTTGTATGAACTGGATATTCATAAAATATAATGATTAACTGTTCCAACATGCATTAAAAAGTATGTGAATTAAAAGGTCTGTACATTAAAATGCCTGTTAAAGTCATTTTGTTATTTCATCATGTATTAAAAGGTGGAAGGTTTTTAAAGACACTAACTGCTTCTTCATATGCTGAAAACTTAAAGCAGGTTTTTAAAGCTGTTTGAAGACTTCACCATGTAAAGCATTCGTACATGCTTTGAAAAGCATTTGGCTGTTTCATCATGAATTAAAGAAAAGTATAAGGTTGCAGCGTTAATTACAAAGATGCTTCTGTGTGCTCATTAATTGCTTCTCATAGCACTGACATTCCTGTGACATCGTATGCAGATTAAAGCTGAATATAAGCAGAAATAAATGGTCAGCTCTTGATGAAAGAAGGAAAGATGAAAGAATTTCCAAATTACCGATTTTAAAGCCATGATGTTCACACTTGAGAAAAATCTAGTTTAGTGCTGACATCGACTATTTGTATGCTTCTGTCTTTGGTTTAACCTAAAAAATTAACCTTAAAAAATATTGTCCCTGCTGATATTGTTGGCTCCTACAGTATATGATAAAAAGCCTTTCCTCATTTACAAAAGCATCTGATAAATTATGTAAATTATGCTGATTAATAATATTATTATTAAACTAGTTATGATTATTATGTTATGTTATGATATGATATTATGATATTATACACTCTAAAAAATGCTGGGTTAAATACAACCCAGGGCTGGGTAAAATAGGGACAAACCCAGCAATTGGGTTGTTTTGACCCAGCGGTTGGGTTAAATGTCAGCACTGGGTTGTATTTAACCCAGCATTTTTTAGAGTGTATGTTATGATTACAGTGAATGATATTATTAATGATTGTTGATGAGTATAAGAGATTAGAGGGATGTGCATGAAGTGCTTATACCAGATTGTTATGTGGTATACAGAAATGTAATATGGAATACTTCCCTATATCGATACTGCGTGAGAATTGCCATATATGTTGCCTATAAGGCTATATGTAATTTTCACATACATGCATTCTCTAGTTGAAGATTTATAACAAGTTATAATAAATTCATAACATGCCTAAAATATCATAGTAAAAGTTGTGTATGTACATAAAATATATGATTTTTTTATATGTACAACCATATATGTAACTATATATATATATATATATATATATACA